CCAAAAACCAAAACCCCCCCACCCAGACCCCATTTCCCAAACCCACCCAGCCACAACCCCGTGAATTCCTTAGGGAGGTGCCAGCCTCATCTTCTTGAACTTCCCACGCTCCTGTTGGGGGCTGAGAACACACTTATCTCCCTGAGCATGGCCTTCATAAGTCCATTCCATCACACTAGGTAACATCAGTGCTAGGGCTAGCATCATCTGGCACTGATGGTGTCACCTCGTTGGGTCATGAAACGTCTGCCAGCCAACCACCAAGCTCAGAGAGCACCAAGGACTCCACAATTCAACCCTGAGCTACAGATCGTCCCTTCTATTGGGACCTTTTGATGGTTAAGGGAAGAGGCTGAAGGCTGCAAAGGGATGGGCTGAGTGACGCAAATGATGAAGGATGCGGAGGCTTTCCTTTCCTGAGCAATTTTTCTTTTTCCCTTGTCTTAAACTGATTTTCCTCAGCAAACGATTGATCTCATCTGGGTGAGAAACTAATTAGGGCTGCATCTGATTAGTATCTTGATGGGCTAAACGGGTTAACAAAAAATCCACGGAGAAGGAAATGGCAGCCGAGAAGGCATGAGGTCGCCAGGAGTTGAGCTGGATTCAGGTGGCCTAGCCTGCTTCAGTGTTACAGCTACATGGGCCGTGGCTGATGCGTCGAAGCTCAGAAAATTTCTAGGGTTGGGGGAAGGAAGAAAATCAGCGCCTTATATAGCTGCTGCTGTTCACCCCCTCTGTATCGTTGTCAAGTAGAGCCAGCCTCAACTGCGTAAAGCAGTTGGTCTTCTCATCCAAAGAAGCAAAACTCCCAAGGTCGGCCTGGCTTGAGGTCAGCTGTCTTCCTCTTTAATTCAGGCTGCAGCTCTACTGTTTATTTTATTTATTGTGGTTCATTCAATGGGTAGGGCTGCCCAGTTGGTGTGAAAATAGAAATGGATTCTTTGTTTTCCACGGTAAAACTCCATGGTTTTAGGTGTTTTGATGGGGGCCTTCAAGGTTTGGGCAGCCGGCAAGGGTCAGGCCCTCAGAGCCTTAACACGACAGAAGAGCAGGAAAAATGAAACCGATGGAAAACAGGGAGATGTGTTGTCTTTAATCAACTGTCATCGTCTTGAAGCTTTCAGTGGAACACTGTTTTGGTTCCCTCCTGGCCTTGCTGGGGTTTGGAGGCTAGTCCTGTCCTGAACATTATCTTCTCCCCTGACTCTCGTCCCCCTCCTCACAACTGCCTCTTCTCTGTCCTCCCTAGCGGGTCGGCCACTTTGACCCCGTGACCCGAAGCCCGCTGACCCAGGACCAGCTGATTCCCAACCTGGCCATGAAAGAGGTGATCGATGCGTTCATATCCGAAAACGGCTGGGTGGAAGATTACTGACCCCCAAAGGACAGGAGAGCTCCCAGGGGGGCCCAGCTGCTGCGGCGACAAAGAAGACCCCCTCCGGACTGCGCGAGACTGCTCGCTGGGCCAGCCCCATGCCTTAACCCCTCTCCCTTTCCCCTTCTTTGCCCGGCCCTGCCAAGGTGGAGTCGGCTACCCTTCCCCCCTCGGCAGGCAGGCGGGCAGGGTAGTTCCATGGCTGCTGTGGTCCTCTCCCTTTCGGGCAGAAGGAAGACCTCGGCCTTGATCTCGAGAGGATGGAGGATCGCTCCCAGCACAGAAGCTCAAGCATGGGAGTCATTTTTTCATGGGGGGCTCCGGAAGAGCTCCGCCTGGCTCCGGCCGAGCTACGGAGCCCCATCTGACTTTGGTACCAAACCGCCCCCCGCCCCAGCTTCCACCCAGATCCCATCGCCCCCTCGTTCGGCACGCTGTCCTCCCACGCAATCCGCTCTCGCAAAGGACCCGGCCTCTCTGGGGAGCCAAGACTGGATCTGTGCCCCCCCCGAAAGGCGATCCCCAGCTCTTGCTTCTTCCCCGTTCTCCGTCTGTACAAAGTTCTCGTTCTCGCCTTCCGTTTTCCAGCCTGTCCAGAAGAGCTCAAGTTCTGCGTCTGCTTCTCTGTAAATAAATGGCCACCGATTTCGGGGCGGATCGGGGAGGGTCAAAGAGGGTCAATTGTTTCTATTCCCCGAAGTGGACCGGAATTGGCACTTCCTGGGGGAAAGCGGTCTCCCCAGCTTGCAGGTAGTTGTATTGAGGGGCGGGGAGAGAGCTGAGCCCCACGGCTCCATTCTGGGTAGTTGTTTTACCTATTAAATTACTCAAAGTTCATGTTTTGGGTTGGTTTTCAATTAAACTGTCCCCCTCCCCCCCGATGATTGCAGCACAGTTTGGAGTTTCCCCTCTCCGGAAGGAAGAAACATGAAGAAAGAAGAAATCAGCGTACACCCTTTCTGGTTTTTCGGAGTTCTTTGCGCTGGGGGTGAATTGATTAAGGAATATCCTTGAGTGGGAAGGGCCAGGAAGCTCGACAAGGCAAGGAAACAAGGCTGGAGAAGAACATTCTGCTTGTTTGCATCCATTTTTATATCTATGGTTCCTTTCGGCATTAGGCCCACTATTCAAAAATTCTGTTGCGCCGCCTCTTTTTTAGATGAGCCAAATGTTGCAGGGCGAAGGGCTCCCAGGCAACTTGCCAGCTACACCTTTTCTGGGGCGCTCTGTTCCACTTTGGCATCAGGCCCCAAGTCCATGCCAAATTCACCTTTTGCAAAGATGGTGTTTTCCCAACTTCACTCATATCCTGCTGCTAATTTCTGGATGGCATTCTTTGGGTCGCAAGTTAGGATGCTTGGAGCATGTGAGAAAGAAAAAAAGAATCTGGAAATTATTCTTCTGTAAGGAAACAATGATAAAGCAGAGTCTTGTTCAACTTGTGGTGAAGTGAGCAGGAAGGGAAGATGTCCAGGTGCCTGTTTAAAAAAAAAAAAAAAGTTTCTACTGGCACCTGGGTATCTTCCCATCTTGTTCTCTCTAGATCCTGCCTGCCTTTTGCTGGTCAACCTATCTCTGGGCATGTCCAAAGTGCCTTTCCCTCACTGGTAAGGAATTGCAGCCTGGTTAAAGAGAATGTTTAAGATGCTGTGCGTATATGAGTCTGCTGCTTATGTAAAAAGTGTTTCTACCCCATTTACCTCTTTTCCTCTTTTTTCCTTTACCTTCAGAGGTATCTATTTGCTGGATGAAGAATTCACATTTTTGAAATGTACTTATTCCACAAACAGGCAAAGACTAATGTGAAATAAAGCCAACTTCAGAGGATATAGATGAAAAAGCAAGTGTGGGGTGGTCCAGCCTCTTGTGTTGAAATCCACTTCTTTAGAAAAGACGGAAAAGATTCTAAAATGCTCTTCTCGGTGTGATCAGGGCTCCTGTCGCCAGTTTTACCAGTAATGGGCATATGTTGGCCTTCCACTCCGTTCTGGACAAGGCCCACCTTGAGTAAAGCTGTTTGGGGAATGGAGGGGCAGACAGATGGTGCTCCTCCCTTCCAGCAACCCAAAACCAGGTCAAGAGCAGATGGTTTCTCAACCTTGGCCACTTTAAGATGTCTGGACTTCAACTCCCAGAATTCCCCAGCCA